TATACAAATAATTTCTGCAAATCAATAAGAAAACGATAGGGAGCCTAAAAGTTAAATGTGCACAGCATACTAATAAGTGATTCACAGAATCACCCAAATAACTAATATTGCAAGTAAAGAGATACTTCTAGGCATTTACTCTTCAAAACTCATACTCCTGTCAACAAGGGGACATGTGCAAGGATACCTGTTATAGCACTGTTAGTGGTAACAGGAAGCAGGAATCAACCCAGGCAGGCCCCCTACTAGGAGAAGGGATGCATCCTCTGTGACACTAGGCAGCAGTTATGTGCATTTACTGAGATGTACATACAGCTACATGAAAATGCCTTAAAATCATAGTGTACCGCGAAAATAGTTAACAACCAAACAAGACCTACAACAATATTACTCAGATAAATTAAAATTATATCTTCAAAGACATCATGTGTTTTTCAAGAATAAATATGTATCCAAGTCATGTAGAGAATTCAGTGCATGCCCACTTGTGTAGGGGGCCTGTGGGTGAGTGGAGGGGAGTTGTAGAGAATTAGAGTGAAGATAAAAGATAAAAAGAGGAAAACAGCAGGAAATTTGGTGACCACTTATTAACATTCTTGACTTTAATATGTATTTCTAAAGTTTTCTGATTTATTCTTCTTGCTGTAGACTTTTCACCTACAGAGAAACTTAACCCCTTTATGTAAACAATTAAGATTATTTGCATTTAAGCCACAATAAAATTTCATAGTGAAAATAATCAGAAATGATATGAAAAAAATTAAATTTCATCCAATTCTTTCAAACCACCAACCATCTTCATAGAAGGAAGGTGTGGTAGGACAAAAAATACCCATGTCAAATCCCTGGAATTTATGAATATTACCTTATTTGGAAAAAGGGTCTTTGCCAACAAGATTAAGAATCTTGATATGAGGCGATTATCCTGGATTATCTGGGTGGGCCCTGTATTCAAGTCAAGTGTCCTCATAGGAGATAGAGGAAGAAAAGATGCACACAGAAAAGTATTAAGACGGGCAGAGATTGGATATGGCCTCAAACTACAGAATGCCAAGGAGTGGTGATTGCTACCAGGAGCTAGAAGCAGCTTATGTTGGATTCTCCCTTCAGTCTCTGCAGGGCATATGGCTCTATGGTACCTTGATTTTAGACTTTTGGCCTCCAGAACTGACTGTAACAGAATAAATTTCTATTGTTTTAATCCACTAAATTTGTGGTAATTTGTTAGAGTAGCTGCAGGAAACTAACATAGAGGGATACAAAGTTGCTTGCTTTTGGCTGTAGGCCTTCTCACAACCAGTGACATTGACAACCATTGTACAAAATAATTTCCCATAGTGGAGAGGTCCTCCTGTTACCCCTCTCCTGAGATGAAGACGTGTAGCAACCTCTTACTCCATTAATTGGAGTCAAGTGTGTAAGTGGTTTTTCTTCTCTCCATAGATTTCAGAAATTGCCCCAGTTCATCAAAGGGAAATTACTTCATGTAAACTATTTGGCTTCAGGCTATTTTTAGAGAAATCAACTCATAATTTTAGGTTTAATACTCTGCCATCAATGAACAAATGGACATAAGCATATTTAACTGAGTAAAAAAATTTCCCACTAGGGGTTATCCTTAGAGATTTATAATTTTATAATTAACAATACAATAATACACTCATAATAAGGGGTTTTATATAAGTGTAAGATGCTTAAATACAGGCTAAATCTTTAATTTTGGTGGGGAAGCATTGATTTGAATAATGAAGCCTTTACAAGATGGTAGTTTTCTTAAAAATTAAGTAGGGAGAACAAATTCTTTGGGATAGTTCATAAACAAGTACATTGACCGCCTTATAGAGGTGTATGCCTTTAAATGTTGTAATTATGCGAGATCTTAAAAAGTACTATGTAGAACAGCTTATTCTTCTGTTCCTCATTATATGGGTAGGAAATGATGAAGTCAAGAGAGGATTAATCCTACAGTTAGTTATTGACAGCTTTTTCTTCAGGTTTTCCTTTCAGTCTAGTGTTTTACCGCACTGACTTAATTTGGTTGTTTTTGCGGGAGCTCCTCAAATTATTTGAGGAGAGAATAGCAGCTGGTGCTGTGTTTTGGTGATCTGGCGGTGGTGTGCATGATGAGTTTTTGGCTACAAGTAACAAACCTCAATTTAAATTGCCTTTAATAATATAGTAGTTTATTGTATCACGTACCAAGAAATCTGGAGATTAAGTAGTTCTAAGATTTGTTAATTTAGAGCTGGAGGACATAATGAAGGGCCCAAATCTATCCTTCCTTCCTGCTTCCTTCTTTCTCTTTGCCATCTTCAGGTCCTTTGGTTAGCATCACCTTCTTACCTAGTAACTTTCAGGGGCAGAAAGTTAGTTTCCTGAGGTAGAAAGTTTCCTCTCACCCCCATCTTCTTAACGGCAAGTAGGCTCCCACTGAACTCATCTGAGGTGATTGGCCAGAATTTCATTACACATCCAGGCTGAACCAACCTCTGGAAAAAGGATTGGAATTACCGTGATAGAACTAGTTGTTGAGCGGCCAGTGTCACATAGTTTGAGAGGAAAGATGCTGTACTGAGTCTGCCAAACTGGAGACAAAATTGGATCATGTATTACCATGGCTCTATAAAACCATAAACCGTAATAAAACCGTCAACTTTGAGAATATCTTCTCTACAGGACAGAGGAAACAAAACAAAAATTACCCTTATTTTTCTACATGTTAATTGCTAACTTGACAAGATTGTAAAGCACCTGGGTCCTAATCAGTTTTCAGTTAAATCGTTGTATTTCCTGAGAGAGTCAAGTGAACCTCGGGTGAGCTTATTAGAAATGCATGATATTAAAACGTCACCCAATCATATATTTTCCTTAATTCCAACTTCTGAATACTGTTTTTTCTAAACAGGAGTGAGATTGTCAAGGGAGATGGCATAGGAAGAAGAAGATAGTAGAACAGTAGGCCCAGTTCCAATCTATGCACATACTCCAAATTAGGCATTTTTTTACCATTTGATTTGACCTATATATGCTAGCTGGGGTTTTCTCTATTTTCGTTGCTATTTTCCTTATACAGTCTCAAAACATGTTATTTCTCGTCACCCGTTCTTCTCTTTCTTGGGTTAATTCTCAGAGTAGTTTCCTCTGACTTTGGCCACTAAAAAAGTTCTAATTTTTACTTAAATTCATAAATAACATTCATAAATGTCAAAGCAAATCAATTTATTTAAAATTTAGAAAGTAAGTCAAAGTGCATTACAGCACTCAGCATTGTATCTAGCACATAAATGCTCGGTGCCATTTGAAAATTAACATTTATAGGTCACTAGAATAGGCTTCATGTTGGCAGAGATTGTGTCCTAAATAGTGTTACGTGTATAATACCTAGCACAGTGTCTGGAATATTCTAGGAAATAAGTGTTGAATAGTTTTTTAAAACTAAATTCATTTTTAAAATGAAGACTGCTATATAGCAGTGTTCATCAAACTCTAGTTATATAAACCCTAAAAGATTTTTTAAAAGATTTCTACCCTCTGCACATTTTTAAGTTGACATTTAAGTTATCCATCATCAAGTTAAATAGTTGCAAAGGATATAATTTTTAGTTTGCAAATATTGACATGTATAAGCAAAACTGTTACATTAATTTTAAAATGTGTCTGACAATATAAATACCATACAATTTTAAATACCATTCTTTTAAAAAAAGTCACAAATGAACCTTTTACTAACCATTATAAATTTTACATTGTTTCTTTTTCCTTCTTGAATTTTTTCTATTTTTATTCTACAAAAATTTACTCAATGTGTAATATATTTTTATGCTTGCAAATCTTCTACTGATCATCTTACTCATTAAAACTAAGAGGTTTTAAATTTTCTGTGATTTCTGGATTGAGTTGTCATATAATTATTAATGATAAACAATTATCAAAACAACACAAGCATGTTACAAATTTTAGCAAATAATTTTTAAACAAAAAACGGAGTAAAGTGATATGGCAGAGCATATTTTTGGACTCTTGATTTTAGGAGATTTCCCCAAGTCCAGTATTTTGAATTATCTCTTTGTTTGGTACATCAGAGGTTTTTATACCTCAAGGCAATGTGCCTTCATAAGACTCAGGATATGCCTTGATAGGAGGTATCTATACTGTTATCAAGTTAAAGAAAGGACCACAGTGAAAATGAAGTAGGAAGGGGAACTAGCATGACACCTCCACCAAAGCTGGTGTCAGTGGGATCAGTTTTACAAAGAATACATATGGGAATTAAGAATCTCAAAATTTATTCCCTTAGATCTATCTGGGTTCTCATACGCCTTGGTTAATCTTTGTGTACCCCTGAGGCTACAGTTTTAAGACTGCTGCTTTAAAGGATAATTTATAGAGATCATGGTAACTATATTGCCAAAAATGTGACTAAGGGAGTAAGATGATTATAATGAGCTTTTTTCCCCTTTGTCACATTACCTTCTTTCTCACAGGGAACCTCACCTGGCCAATCATATTAATCCTATTCCCTGAGATAACAGTCATTTGTCCAGCAATAGGCACAAACACCAAGCAGATCAAAGTCCTCCCTTGGAACTGATATAAAAACACTGAGGAAGGAAATTTTTCTTTCCTTTGATTGGGATCTGCTGAGCTGTGGATATGTGAATTTGAAGCTGCTGGCAACCAACTGGGAGTGCCTCTCTGCAGAATGAAGGCTAGCAGAGCGAAGCAGAGGCAGGGAGACCCAGCCAGGGTCCTTCCTCGCAGGGCGTGCAGTTTCAGTCCTGGGGGCCTTGGTTCCTGCAGCTCATTTGCTCCTGTGAACTTCCCCAGTATCTTTTTCAGCCACATGAATCACTAAATTCCTTTTTTTCTTTTACTTGAGTTAGTTTGAGTTATATGATTGGTGCTGCTGAAATAATTTTAACAACTAACAAAAAATAAACTCAAAGTATTGTGAAAGTATCTTGTGTAAAATGAGTAATTTTGAAAATTTTCTTTTCTAGATTGTTGGACCTTCAGATGGAAGCAGTTACATTATAGATTATTATGGAACCAGACTTATAAGACTGAGTATTACTAATGAGACATTTAGAAAAACACAGTTATATCCATAAATATTTTTAAAAGAAACAGTAAGTGATATGTTTATATAATCTTAATTATCATATATTATCTGTGTAAAATTATGGGAATTTGAGAACCGTAAGAAATTGAAGAGATCATTTAGTGTTGCAAACCTCTCATTTTGCTTCTCAGGATACACAGGTCTGCATATGCCTGAAATATCTCTAATCTTTTGTAAAGCATTTTCATGTATCTCATTGCTCCTGCAGTTCTCGATTCAGTAACCTCTTTCTTTACAATGAATGTGCCTAAGGACCAAATTCACTGGGAAAAAATAACATCAAAACAAAAAGATGTTCTGTAGTATTGTATATGGTGGTTACGAGGAACGTGCGTGTTGTAGATAGTTCAATAAAGCTTATCTTTGCTGCTGTCTCTCTCTTTCCTATGATCTTTAAACCTCTTTCCTCTCCTTTCCTAAACAGGAAAGTTGGTAAGAGTCTCAACCCTGAACTACTATTAAGTACTTATTTTAACCTAAAGTTTGTCTCTGCCCCTGAAACTTAGTAATTGGCCTCAGCTTTAAATAGGTAATACACTTGGAGAAGTCAGAGATACCATTAGTCTTCCTGATTCAACTCTCTGCTTCTCAAGGACTCTGGTACTGTAAGGTTTTTATTTCCATGACTGTACATTAGTCTATTCTAATAAGTGATCTTCCGGGAATGCTAGATTTTTCTCAGGAAAACAATTTCCTGGTATGACCATTCTCTGCAGTGGGGAAGTCCTATATAACATGGAGGGTGCAGGGTACTTCTTAAGTGATTATTCACTTTGAACTATCTAGCAGCTTTTAGAGACAGAGCAGAGAGAAAGACAGGCCAGGTGTTTTGGCCACAGTCAGAGTCCTAGGGTTTTCACTCGGCTCTGTCTCAAGAGTGTTTCTAGAGGCCAGGAACGGAACAGACATTTATTTCTATTTATGTCATAGTGTATAAATAGGATATGAAGTATAATTTTGCCCTTAAGGTAGATTTTTTTCTTTCCTCAATAAAATCATGGGATATACTTTATAGATGTTGTAATAAGTTCGAACAGTGATAGACCTTGTCAAGATCTGAGGGATTTATTCAACTGATTGCCCAAAAAGTTGTTCAGATCTTTTCTATTGAAACTATTGAAAGTCTTTGGCTTTAAAATTGAAATGAAACTTAGAGCAACAAATTGAGACGAGGGAATTTGAGACTAAGATACAATCAGTGTGAAACTGAACCTCACATCTAGAGCTCTACAAGTTCCACTGGCTGCTCTCCACCTCCCTCCCCACCCCAGCCCCCACCAGCTATGTCATTTTGTATTAAGCATTTCATTTTGGAAGTTATTACTCTTTATGAGAAGGGTTGAGTAGTTTCACATAACTCTATTTTCATACTGTAAATTGTGTCCCATTCAAAAGTGTATAGATTGTTTTCAAACCATAATGTGTAAAAATTAAGCAAATGTAATTTAAAAAGTAATTTCATTCTCTGTAGCCTATTATATAAACACTTAATTGGGATTCCAGACTAAATTTGAAATTTAAAACTCAAAAGCCCCGTTGAGAAGGCAGATCTCTGCACTGCCATTCATATGATTGCCCTACAACGTACATAGAAGGGCTCCAAGAGTAAGAGAAGTGTTCTAAGTAAGTGAAGCATTACCATGTGCATCTACAGTAACTTCATTGGACTCTTTTTAAATAGTTTGGTTTAATATATTTCTTTTTTCTGTTTTAGGATTGGGCCTTGTTGATTTTAATAGTGAGCTCTCAGTATGTGGATCTCCAGATTTTCCATTTTCCTTCTTCACATATCATTTTATGGATTCTATATCATTTTTTTGTTGTTGATAATGTTTTTGTTTTGTTGTTTTTGTTGAAAGCATTTTCGTCTGAGATTTATTTAATAGCACTTTCTTTGAGAGCTGTGTAATCATGGTCTTTCCTAGGCTACTGTCTCTATGAGATAGGTCGTTTATTACCCCAATATTCTTTCATGTGCTTTCCAAAGGCAAGTTGCCCGCTTGTCATTTTTCCTTATGAAAAATAAAAATGACTTACTCACATTTTTAGTGCTTTATTATTAAGAAACCTTAAATGTTGAATGTAGCTGTCTTCTGCATTTTGATCCTTCAAATCAGTTAATCCATGGTGTGAACAAATACCGTGATATTGCCTGGGGTACAGCCTAGTGTATGACAACGCACCTGGTTTTCTGTAGCTTTCAGATCTGTCTTTGCCTTGGTATCCGAGGAGCTAATGATCACTGGGGAGTCTGAAACCTTGAGGCAACATGGACACTTCTGGCATTGATTCAGGCCTCTGAAGTGTGAACTTTTTCCTTTTAGCTTTGAGAGTGATGCGCTAGCTTTTGAAAGACCAGATGCTGACTCATCTAGCTCAGTGCAGTTACATTTGAAGTTGGATGGACAAGGTGGGAACACTGAACAGACGATTAATGTCTTCCATCTGTTAGCACTGCCAGACAGATGCTGGACAAGTGCCCGAAGTGACGCCCCGGTGTCCGAAGGAAGCAGCACCTGCATATTAGCACTGGTTTTCCTTACCGTGTTTTAGAAGAGTTTTAAGAAGATGGAAATACATGAAATGTTATGTCCCCATAATTCTGTCATGTACTTTCTTCATTAACAGGAACACCAATTTCAAAACTACTGCGGCCAGGCTCCTCAAAAGTAAAAACCATAATTTTTTATCACTCATTTTGCTCAAAAGGATGCTGTATTCTCCAGTTCGCTTTCTAACATTTAGTAACAGATTCTTCAGTTGGTGGGAGATTAAGTATTGATACATGAAGTGAATTTGGGTTGACTCCTAATACACATTAGAAATGGTCTCTTTGCTTCATTTGTTAATTAAAATATGGAGCAGCTACCGTTTGGGAGGTACTGTTCCAGATGCTAGGATGCAGCAGTGAACAAAACACAAACATCTCTTCCCTTAAGGGCTAATATTTTCTTAGGATGTGCTTTTTCACAGTGATATTTTGGCTGCAGTTAAGCTAGTATTTTCCTAGATTCTTTCGGTTGCAAACAGTGCTTTGAAGTTTCTTCCAGATCACCTAACCCCAGATTTTAAAAGTCCTTTACGTTTTCTTAGCCGTATAAATTCAATTATATAAGAAATGCTTGTAGTCAAATCTTGAAAAGTAATGTTGATTCTTGCATAATTGTTACAGTTATTAATATGGCCAGGTGGGTAGTCTTTTTCAAAGGTGTTTCTCAAAGTAAGCATTTATTCGAATACACTGTAGTACTATGGGTCATTGATAAAACCTAGAAAGAAAGTTTCTTTGCAAAGGACTCTTGAACCTTTAGACTTTATTTTCACTGCAATAGCCTAGATTTACATGACAAGAACACTTTTTTCAGTTTGCGTAATCCCCTAATTGCCTAATATATGTAATTCTTTAACATGTTTTTGTCTTATTATTTATTTTTTATGTCAATGAATTTAATGCAGGTGAATGCAGGCTTTTTTGATTGTTTTGTTTTTGTTTTGTTTTTCACTTTCATGGAACACTTTTATTTGGCTATTTATTAGTGTGTGTGAATATGATTATATGTTAAGGCCTTTGTATGCGATATTTTATATGATAACCCTGCTTTTAAAGCAGTGGCCGAATGGGAGATGGATTAGCTCAGTTGATACTGCTAAACTCTCTAGGATGGGGTAGAATGGATTCTTTCAATTCTGCAGAAACAGTGTTTCGATAGACATACTTACAAATGGTAGAGGATTAATACAATTTCCCAAAAGTACCTCTTTACCCAGGAACATTTCTTACCTACACTGTATTAAACTAAAGGACCTCTTTAAGACTTCAAAGACACTGTTATATAGTCAGCATTTGTTCGTGGGACCACTAAGACTATAAAAAATATTAGTTTGGAGTTATGTTTTTGTTTTATAAAAATAAATTTGTGTGTCTTCCCTTTTTTATATCTAGATGCTTAAGTCTAACTATTATAAGACTAATAGGTAGCTAGGAAGCTAAAAAGAGATCTAATAGCAAGAAACTGGCAAGAAAGAAAATTAGTTCTTAAAAAGTACAAATCTAAGATGTTGGTTCCTCTTCTTCAAACACCTTAAATGTAGATATTTCCTGGGTTTCTGGTTCCTTCCCTTCCTCTCATTAAATCACATTCATTTTGCATTTTTCTATGTACAAAATTCAAGCTTAATGCAGAAATTTTGGGAAAACACCAAAAAGTGCAAAGGAAAAAACGAAATTCATTTCATAGCTCAAACATTAGTATTTTTATGTATGTCTTAGTACTTCTTCCATGCATGTATGTACATTTTTCTCCACAAAAATGATATATATATATATTGTTTTGCAGTCTACTTGACATTGTAAAGATTTTTCTATTTCAATAAATATTTTTTACAAAATTGTTTTTAATGCCTGCAGAGTGTTCTGTGTCTGCATCATAATTTATGTAATTCCTTATTGTTTGGTATTTAAGTTATCCTAATAAATGAACAACATGCATTTCTGATTTTTTCTCTCTAGAATTGTCATTCTTAGTCAAAAAGTCATCACACCTTAAAGTTTTTGATACATAGGTAAAGTCTCAGTTAACCGGGTCAATGGAGAAAGAATAAAGTCAGCCTAAACCCACGTTCAAATCAAACCCCAGTCAGCTCTCAAATAGCAATCCCTTGTTCAGATGGACTGTGCATAAGACACTGCGGTGACCTGCCACTGCGCCTTGCTCTGCAGTTAGGGCACTGCTTAGTCATGCTGACTGCTGCCCCTCGCACCGAGGAGCTGAGGAACAAAACTTTGAGAACAGTCTAGCTGCTGGGGAAAGGGCGCTGGTTATGCATTTGAGGAATGATAGCGTATCTGTTTTTTGTCACAAGAGGTCAAATAGTTGACTGAATTATCTAATTTCCCTTCGGGAAGCTTCATGGGAAGAGAGAAGAGTTTTAAGGAGTAAGTAGGAAAGTCATACAGAATGGGTCTCTTTTTTTTTCCTCCCTTGCTAAGAGAGAAAGGGAGGAGGGTAGATTTGGAAAATGAGAAAAGTTACTAATTAGGAGTGAATAAAAGAATTCTGAACAACACTGGGTACCCAACTGAGTCCTGGAATAAAGCATTTGTTAGTTCATCAGCAAGGCAAGGGCCACCCCTTTCTATATCTTTTTAAATAGAGCCTAATATTTTAACTCAATAAATGTAGCAATGTCTTTAAAGCTAGTCATTGTCTGATGAAGAATGTTATTTACTTCCCTAGAAAACATTTTCAAGAAAAATATAAGAAATATTAAGGCTTAATCTCAAAACCTCAAGATTTTAACTTACTAAAAATATCTTTAACGTGTGTAAGATATGCTAAATTCATTATGAATCTTAAATGATTTATTCCTCACAACACTTCCGTAGAGTCTTCATAGAGAGTCAGTATCATATCCCCACTTTACATATAAGTAAATTGAGTCCCATAATGATCGAATGACTTGCTTAAGGTCGTGAAATAAGTGGTGAAGCCAGGACTTAAACCCAGGTCTGTTAACTGCTCTCTTGCTTGCACTATGGTTGGCTACAACCAACTAATTCTATGAAATACACTGCTAATGATTGTATGATATGAGGTTTCTTAATATGTTGTTTAGTGTTTTCAGTAAAGACGGAATTATCTGCCTATACTGAGTCTTTTTGCATAACAGGTAGTTTGGTGGTTAAAAAAAAAACAACATTTTTTAAATTCAGTTTTACATCATGCAAATGATAAAATGTTTTGTGTATGATCAAAAGAGACTATGCTAGAGCAGTGATTATTGTCGAGAACCCGAAGATTTTTCTGCTGCTACTGCCTCATCTGACATTTGCAGCACTTTTTGGACCAAAAGTCTGATTATGTTTGTATAAAAAGGGGGAGATGTTAGGTTGCACCATACTGTTACACTCTACTTAGGCTTGCTGAGGTCAGGTGAAGCTCGAGACGTCTGCAGATGGTGGGATTGCAAGTGGGGTTTTTTTTGTTGTTTTTAACTTTTATTAACATTTATGCTGCATTTATTTCCAGGCCATAGGTTTTTGTTTCTTCAGTTTTTTTCGGGATATCCTTTTCCTCTGTGTAACCTCCTCTTCTAGTTTTGGAACAACCTGCTTTTTTTCAGTAGGATCATCATTGTGGCAGGGAGAGCTCATGGATGGGTTAATCCGCGCATGAGCTCTGTGAGTTCTGTGCTGCAACTTGGGACCTTTTTTTCACCTGATGTGCTCAATGACCAGAGAATCTATGTCTAAACCCTGAAATTCAGCATTATGGACTACATTTTTAAGCATTTGCAGCAAAAATTCAGCATTTCGCGGGGGTCTACTGACCCTGCGTCCAACCCCACTATTTGGCCTGGGCAAACCTACCAACTCTACCATTGTAACAACGGAATAGCACACTTCTATAAAGTGACATCCTTTAGATATTTGGTGGCTTTTCAGATATGCATACCCTTGATGGCCTGGGCAGTTTCACGAGTGTTATTAAAGTGAACACAAAGATTTGAACCTCTTGATCTGCATGCTTTTGTGGGGTTTGCTGGGTCAAGTGAATAGCCAGCCATTTTCAGAAGTCACCTTAGGCCGCTTACAGGAAGAGCGCAGGTGATTTTAATTTAGTTTTTCTTTAGGCTTATGTAAATTTTATAATTTTCCACAATAAGCATACATTACTTGCATACATATATTTGACACAATAATAATATGGGTAAATAAGAACAAAGAATGCAAAGAAATCTAGTTCTCTTCTTCCTTTCTCTTTCCTCCTCAAGATACTCTGATTTTGATCTGATCCTGACATTTAAAAGAAAAAGGCTAATCTAAAACATGACATCAAAGGTTTGACATCCAAGCAGCACAGTTTGATAGAAAATGCACAGACTTTGGAATCAGGCCTGAGTTTGCATCTTGTCTTTGCTACGTGTTTTGTGACTGAGCACGTAGTGATTCTGAGGCCCTCTCTCTTTATATAACTAGTGATGTAATATCCATCAGGCACTATTGAGAAACTAAGATGACATAGATAATAGTGACCATTTACTGAACATATCTCAAAGGAATGGAATGATGGCATTAGGCATTGGTGAGGCCTTTCTGGAATTTGCAAGGGTTCCTCAGACTTGGGTTATAGTGTGGTTACACCTTGCATAAATACTGCTGGACTCAAAAGTTCTTTTGAACTTTTGAAAGAAGGAAAGTAAGATGTGTTCTTTGGACATTGACCAAAATTTTTTAATCTTCAGTATCTTTTCATTAATTGTAGCCCCTCTGTAATAAAGACCAAAAATGTCTCTTTTTCTCAAGGAAGTTTCACCAGCATCTTCACTGCTTTAGGACTCTCCCTATGTAAGGGAAGGCTGCAGTGTTGCAGGTTTTGTTTTTGCTGCTTTTTAATCTAAGGTTCTCTGGAGGTGTTTATCTAATAAATTTAAAAGTGTTGCTATGAGGCAGCTGATCAGTCTACTTTCAGCCTAAATTAAGGTTAATTGCAGCAATCACTATGCATACAACAGAATGTTGCTTTTAACCTGTCAGTGTTATCAGAATATGCTGAGCACGTGGAGATAAAAACTTGAGAAATGATTAAGGTTAGAGCTATTTGGATTGCTTATGCCAAAGAAAAACATTGTTTTACCAGAACACTTTAGAAAGTGTGTAGCGTTTAGAACTTTTACTCATGTGAGCTAGATTTATACAGGAATGGTCAAAAGTAGGTTTACAGTTGTTCGGAAAAAGACATACAGGTTGTGACTAATAGCTTTCTTAACTCAAAAGAATGCCACTCACAACTGTAAACCTACTTTTGCCCACCCTTGTGTTATCCCTGACCATCCTTTTGGTGCCTTAAACATAATAGTACTCAAAAGATAGTCCCACTAGCCCTGGGTGTCTCAATTGGTTGGACCATTGTGCCGTACACAAAAAGGTTGTGGGTTCAATTCCCAGTCAGGGCACATATTTAGCTTTCGAGTTCAATCCTTGGTCATGGCGCATATGGGGAACAACCAATTGATGTTTCTCTCCCTCTCTTTAAAAATCAATAAACATACCCTCAGATGAAGATTAAAAAAACAAAAGATAGTCCCACTAGAATAGGTTAATAGGACTATGGGTTAGTCTGAGATTAAGTAACCTTCTGCTTTGGGTAATTTAGGAGTTGACACCCAAACATGATTCCAGCCCTAATTATTGTCTACAGGAGGTAGGTGAGGAAATGAGCCTCTGTTGATTTATTCAAGACCTCGATGGTCCCAGTGCCTGGTAGAGCATAAGAATTTTATAAGCATTAAATTCTTAGCTTGGAATGGGTGATTGCCAGAGGTGGTTCTTGCAAAAGACTACCAAGCAGATTATTAGAAACAATAAGAAGGAAGTGGGTATGTGGCCATGGAGGGTACTAAGTTACCTAATATGTGTCATATGTACTTTCCTCACCTGATTATCTCAATACAGCCTCACAATCACCCTGTAAGGCAGGGAAATAAGCTACCCTTTTAGTGTAAAGGTCCTTCCTGCTATAAATACAGATTGCCTAGCCTTTAAGATGTTAACAAGAAGCTTTAGCTAAATATTGTGCTCCTCTGCAGAACTCAGACTAGTTTCTGATTCAACTTTTTACTATCCACCCACCATCCGATTATACCAATGGCTACATAGGGTAATACTTAAGCTTATGGACTTTAGGGTCAGACATCTGCCACTTATTATGGGCAAGCTCTTAGACTCTTAGATTCCTCATTCTTAAAATGGAGGTATTATCTTCCTCATATGGTGGTTGTAGGATTAAATACTGTGTTTCACAGTTTGTGGTACATACTGTGTATTTAATAAATGAGAGATGATTGTTTTTAAGATTTTTACGTTTCTTATCTTGTGCTCAGTACTGTCATTTGTGTATCCTTATTTGATACTCAATGAGACTCAGGGGTAGAAAAAATCAAATAACTTGACTATGTTTACTCGGCTAGTAAATGGTGAAGTCAGAGCTTGAAACCAGGTCTGTGATTCCTGAGCCCGTTCGGTCACTACAGTATACTACGTCCCCATTAAGTCCTGTGTGTGTGGACAACTGGCCATAGATCTAACTCACTATTTTATAACTCACTGCCCTGTTGGAGTTTCTTTTAATTTTACAATACATTTACCAACATTACAAAGACCTAATGGCTTTTTTAAAAAAAGAATATTACATTGAAATATACACAAAATGCCCAGATTTTAAGTGTAAAACTCGGTGAATATTTACACATGTACACACCCAGTTAACCACCACCCAGTTCAAGATAAAGAACATTTCTGGCACTCAAGGAAGTTCCTTTGAACTTCCTCCCATTCAGTACCCATCCTC